TTAAGGCAAGTGTGCCTTCTTAATTATTATTACATGTGTTCTGTCTTAAGGACATCATTTACAATATCCACGTAGGCTTTATATCACCTGCAATTAGTAATTATATAAATGTTATTGAAGAGAAGGTTGCTGTTGTCTTCAAAAGAGAGAAGAAGCTGAAATATTGGTCTGATGCTTAGCTAGATGTTGGAATTCCTTGTGTTTAAATTCTCTAGTAATAGACCTTGGTAAAGAAAACCTAAAATCAAAATCAAACATTATTACATCTAAGTCCATTTAAAAATATCCTTAAAATATTGAGCCTACTATGGTTATTATTTGTATTCATTTTTCAGTGTGGTAATGACACATGATATAGAATTAAATAAAAGGCCACTGGAATAATATGCATTAACAAAGAATTTCATTCCTTTTTTCTTTCTTCCATCATTCCAAAAAGCCAAGTATAATTTTGAAACTGAAGATAGCAGCAACAAGTAAAGAATTGTACAAAGTAGATGACAATTATCTAATATCATTGGGTCTAATTTCCAGCTTAACAATGAAGATTTGAGAGATTATTCTATACATTTTACCACAGTTAAGTGAAACTATGTTTTTCATTGGAAAAAAAAACAAGCAGCAAAAAAGGGATATAAATACCAAGGCTAGAACTAAGCCAGTCCAGATACAGAACCAGACAATTCAATATCCCTGTAAGCAGACCCAGGAATTACACATAAGCCAGAAAAACATATTATTCTAAGGACATTCTTATTGCCTTTTGCAACAGAGATTTTCCAAGGAAAATTAAATGTTCAGCCCATAAGAAAAAGCTAATCAGCCAAGACATTTTCTCATTTTTACCATGCATTAACGTTCTGCCAGTTTCTCAGACTGCTTGAAATTATTGCTGACTTTTTCCTCACCTGCATTCTTTCTCAATCATATTACTAAAAAATTACTATATTTTATTCTCTTTTCCAAAATAACTCACTATCATAAAATGGTCAAATTCACCTCTTCCTCTTCATTAAAATAACAGGTATTACATATTTAGTGATTACAATATGCAATGCTGCAGTCAGGCTGGGCAAATAACCGGGAGGTGACAAGCAACTTGAAGGTTGAAGCGGGAACTGCTTTATTGCGGGGAAACTCAGCGGGAACTGAGCAGGAACACAAGGTAGAGGGCACCCTAGGTAGCAGGAGCCGCTTTATTGTGGAGCAGCAGAGGTATCCTAACTGATTACACACAGCTTGACTCAACTAGCATCATCCAGATACAGCAATCAGCCAATAAGGAATCTCTACCATCTTAATGGCTCAGTGGAGTTGCCTCACAAACCACTCCTCCTGGCAAACTGCCAGGCGCCATCTTAACTTGATTTGCAATCCCCAACCATGCAAAGTGATTGTCACAAATATTTTTATATATTAACTCATTTGATCCTCAACAAAAATTTGACATCTGATAAATAAGATAATATTATCCACCTCATTTTACTAAAAAAAAAAAAAAAAAGTCCTACAAAAGTCACTTGCTCAATGTTCTAGGCTAACACTTTGGATTGGGAATTCAGGCCAGGAAGCTTAATCTCTATGATTTGGAAGTCATTCAATACTCTCCTGCATTGACCCCATCATATGTGCCAACCACATCTCCCAATGATTATTAAGGCGAACCCTCACATCTTCTCTTCATTGGTCTCTAGAACTGACTAGTTTCCAGAAATTCTGAATTCCCAATCCTCTCCAATTATTTGAATGTTCCTCATCCTTTAGAACTAGGACATGTCCCCTGATTGTTCCTGGCCACTTTAATCTTTTCTAAATTCAATAATTCATCATTATCATCACCAACCTAGCACGCTAGTTAGGACTTTGTATAAGACAAAGTGGATTTGAATTTTATCTATGTAACTTAACAACCACGTAACTCTGGGTAAAATTATACAAATGTGCTCAAACTTATTTTGTATAGGCATAAATGGGATTTTAATAATGTATTCCTTACAAAGTTTGTTGATAGAAATGAGACATTATAATTAAAAAGCTCATAATGATGAACAGACATCCAGTAATAGTCAATAAATTGTAACTATTATCATCCTCATCTACTAATATATTTCTTTAAAAACTTGTTAGTCAAATATTGACAGTTTATCCCAATTCCCAAACCAATGTTCAATTCAGCTTTCAATAGAAAAAAAAATTCATTTTTCATTCTGTTGGTGATTTCTGTAGTTCCTAAACCAATGGTGAGAACTGAGAGACCCAGAAAACATGCTAAGTGTAACACTGATTAAAACACTGAGGGCATAGATACAAGGGAACAACGCTAAACAAGTGGGAAGAATTCCATGTAGAAACTTTCATTCACTTAATAAATAAATAAAATTAACTATTTGAAGATCATCTACTTTCAAGTCTTTAAGGTAGACCTAGAAAAAAAGTGCCATGAACAATCCAGTTGCCAGTCAGAAAATGAAAAGGAATAAAGAATGCTCTTAAATGATACAAAAGAGAGTCAGACCTGCATTGACTAATTAAATATACCTTTGTGTGCTGAGTGGTTTCTAAGATGGATAAAATATCATGATTAGGAATGTTGGCTTCCCTGGACTTCCACAGGAAAGATGGCTTAATGTGGTACGTCAGATGAAGCATCCTCCAGAAGCATATAGGTGCCTTTGCTTGAGGTGGGGCTCCATGGGCTAAGGGGACTTCAAATTTGTACTGAACCTTATGGAAGGAGCATTTTCTTTATTGTTAAGCAGGTAGCCAATGGAAAAGTGTTATAAAGAAATTATTGCTATATATGATAACATTCCCCAGGCCTATTAATATTTTAGCACAAGCTGGGCATGGTGGTGCGCACATGTGATCCCAGCGGCTCAGGAGCCTAAGGCAGGAGGAGGCCAGCCTCAGCAATTAGCAAATCCCTGTCTCAAAATAAAAGATTAAAAATGGGCTGGGGATGTGGCTCAGTGGTTCAGTCCCCCTGGGTTGAATCCCTAGTACCAAAAAAGAAAAAAAAAAAAGATTAGCACAGAAATTCCCCAAATCCCTACCACTTTCCCTCGTAAAATCCAACTTTAAAAAAAAAAAATAGCCTATTTTTCTAATACTTTATTTACTTCTCTACATTTAAATCTCTAAATATCCTCAGAAAAACTTCAGTGAATTTGCACTAACTTTTTCGGAAAAACCTTGGCAAGAGTTACATCTTTTTATAGTATTAACAGGCTGAAATACCTGTACAGTTTTCAAAATAAATATTCTGAAAAATGTATTTTGCTTATAATCAGATTCTAAGCTTTATAGTTTTGTTTTTATGTAGGAATTATAATGCCGTTAGAGAAATTGAGTAATATTTCTTAATTTTAAGTTTGGGAGATGCTTAATTTAAAAAATGGCAGCCTCATATGTCTCCAAAAACAAGATTTTTCTTCTTGTTGCTAAAAGCTTATGTTGTTATTAAAAAACTTAATTTTCAAAATACTTCCAGAACCTCTGCCTGGTATATATATGTCCATTAAACACAATAAAGATAGAACAAAGGCAAGAGAGAGAAGTTGAAAAGAAGACAAAATCAGTGAAAAATCCCAAGTAAGGGCACTGACACACTTGGAGGGCAATTTTGGAGCATATACCCCTAGGAAGTGAAATAAAGGAAACAAAAGTAGCACCAGAATCACTAACCTGGATTCCTCCCTGTCCTAATGCTGGTTCCTTCCTTCTGCATCCCCTACTTGGAACTAATAACTGTGTGTTCTGAAATCAACTACTTGAATTATGAATGGATCATATTTAAGAATCAACTCCTTTCAAATAAAAAACCTTTTACAGCTATATTTGGTTAGGGGGAAAGAAATTAGCATACATTTCCTCGTTAGTCTGAGTGGCCTAACCGGTATAAATCCCTATAGGTTATTTGGAATGGCTTTAGTTTATACACCATGGATTTTTCTAACTATTTAATAACATGTTCAGAGTGAAGATTGTTAGTATTAATCACAAGAAACTGAACTATAGCCCCTAGGAGAACAGCTAGGGGCTTTCCTCTTTGCTTCTGAGTATGCATCAGCCCTAGGCACAGACTTAGACATTTATGATTTGGGCTATGCAAAAGTAAATAATGGAAAAGTGTGCTGTTGGTTGGTTCCCATCAAGACTGGGGGGAGACAAACTATAAACAATTAGAAAGAAGCCAGATGCTTAAGGAGGCTGATAGAATAAATAACTTTCCAATTATTCTCAAGAAAACTCTTTAAAAATAGAGTATTAAGAAAAAGGGGGGGGGGGAGGTTGTGCTTTCAATAAGACAACTTTTTAGTCAGTGAAATGAAATATTCAAATCTGAAGAGCACATTTCTCATAATATTGTTTTTTTCCCCTTTGTAATGACTTTTGGTCTTTTGTCTCATCTACTAAACACTTATGTCCATTTCATGCAAGGCACTTGATACTATAGTATCAGAAATACCTGTACAGTTTACAGAGATAAATGTAGTTTACGAGGGGAAAATAAGTCCTCAGTTCTTAGCTCCTCCTGGCTAAAGTGATTTGGAGTCCCTGATGGAGACCCAGGCTCCAGGAATTTGGAAGCTGGACTGAAGATACTTTCTGCAGCTGTTGGGATTCTGATAAGGAGTTCTGGTGTTTTTACTCTTTGTGGAAAGGTTTCTTTGTCCTGATCACGCAGCTAGAATAGTTGTTTCACAGAAAAAAAAAAATTACCTCAAAACCTTAATAATGAACTCTATGCCCCCAAAGGAGGTGGAGAACATACATTTTGCTTCTACCAGGTCAAATTTAATATAATAGAGAATATTTTCTTAAACTTCAGTATCTTGAAATGCTTCTCATTTGAAAGATATAGAATATTTTATATATGCTCATCACTGAAATATTTGTACCCAGTTAATCCATGGATGTGGTCTGGTCTTGATTGCATTTTCTTTACATGTTCTGCAACTTTTCACTATTAAATTAGACATATAAAAAAAAAATCTCACCTCGGTAGCAACATCTCCAGTTTTTCCACGGTGAGGAATTTCGTATGCCTCCATTTGTTGCTTGGTGAGTCTTACTAACTTTTCAGCAAGTTCCCTCCAGCCTTTTCCAAGTTTGACAGCTGAAGTCAGAATAACAGCTTCTTGGAGAAGATGCACTACCAACCCTTGACAGTCGATCTTTAGCAGAGCCTGCAGCAGCAATTATATATCATAATTAAAAACAACTCATTTTGATTTTTTCCTTTCAATTAAAATTTTTATTACTTATTCTAGAAATTGGAGTCGTTCTTTTCACCACACATATAACTAAGTTTTCTGAAATCTAAATATTTGATTTACTGTTACGCAAATTCAACACACATACTTAGCATGTGTGAGGTTCTGAGTTCAATCTCCAGCACTCTTCCTCCCACAAGAGTCTAAAATTTCCCAGAATCATGCCTATTGCATATGAATCAGGTACTCCGGCTTGGAACGAAGCTAATGACATTTATAAATTTTTAAAATAACCAAATACCTCCCTCCAGTAATGTAATTGTGTTAAATATAAACCATAAGGTATTAAAGATAAAACACAGTCTTCTACATGCAAAATGGAAAACCACCACTCTTTCTTCCTTTTTAGGCATCTGAATTTTTTCACTCACCATGTATGTTTCAAACAATTCTGTAAGTTGCTGTTCTGCTTTGAATACACTTTTAAAAATGTGATTATATCTATGTATTCTCTTATCTGGTCAAATAAGCAAAAAAGAAAAGCAACAACAACAAAAACGTATTTAGCAGCTTCTCATTACTTAGTGGCACTTGGAACCTTTATCTACAAACACAGTACAATAAGTACAAATGAATGACCAAATTAGGTAACTACTGAAGTTGCAAAGTGTGTTTATTCTCATGTAAATATACACATAGAAGGGCTGCCTGTGGTTTTATACAGAGACTAGACTAAGCCATGCATTTCTACTGAGAAATTACAGCCTCAGTGAGAAGCAATCCAAGTCAGCAGGACCCTGAAGGACTTTTAGTAATGTGGAATGGCTTTATCGCTCCACAGTCCAGTTGTTGTTATTTGTTTTTCTAGCAAAAAGAATCTTTTTGCTTGAAGTCATAAAACCTGAGTTTAAAATCTGTCTCCACAAACTATAAGACTTCAAATGAATTATTCAATAGAATTTTCTATATAGCCATAGAAAATTTTCTATGTAGCCATAGAAAATAATGATTTAAAAATCGATATAGTGCTAATACCACTGTCCAATGATTAATAAATATGAAGATTAAATCAGATGCTGAAGGACTTCACAGAGTGTCAAGTATATAAGGACAGCCACCCTTTAATTTCCTAGTTTGGCCAGTTCTTCAAATTTATATACAGTCCAAGGGGGAAAAATAAAAGTGTGTCCATTGTACAAAGAAAGATTGAAGAGACAAGAATGTACCCCCACTTCACACTCAATCACTTTCCTGTGAGATGGCCTAGCTTATGCCTTCCATTCAGGAGTCTTGAATCCTGCATAGGCACTATAGGAGTTTAAGGGCTCCCTTGGGACCTACTTTTATGAATGGGTTCTCCACCATAATTTTCTATGTAGCCATTCAAAGTACTGTATTAATTATCATACTCCCAAAATGCCCAGGTATGAGTAGGCTTAAATTTTTAGGTCATTGGGCCAATATGACTAAGAGTTCCACTGAAGAAAAAGAGAGCAATTTCAATTCAAACTTGTCAATACATACTGAATGTGAGCTCTGAGAGGTAACATGCTATTGCAAAATGCACATGAGCTTCCACCAGGCAGCATGGCCTCTAACATTCAGTCTCCAAAGGCCCAGATTATGTGAGATTGCAGCATATCATAATAAAACTATTCACTTACAAATGAATAGTGGGCCTTTTAAACTTTAACTACTCTTGGTATCATTTTAGAACCGTCAAAAATATTGAAGGGAAGGAAAAGTTTTTTTTTAATATTTATTCCTTTAATATATAAATTATTGTTAATGTCACACACTAAATTTCTTCTCTAATTATTTTTACTCATTTTTAAAAATTATTTTTAATTGTAGTTGGACATAATACATTTATTTTATTTATTTTTATGTGGTGCTGAGGCTTGGACCCAGGGTATAGCATATGCTAGATGAGCACTCTACCGCTGAGCCACAACCCCAGTCCCCCTTTTTTCTTCCTTTTATACTTTAAAACTTTACTCCTCTGTTATGAACCCACTTGGATAATTTCACTCATCTCCTATAGGGCACCATTTTTCATTGTTATGTGTAATGTCATTGTTGTTGTTATTTGTTTAGTACACACTCCAACACATGTACCTATACAAACCTTTTTTTTCTACACACAAACACACATATAGCTTTGTTTCAAGAGGGTATTAGCTATCATCATTATTGTTTAAAAAATAAATAGTTCAATAATTTTTAGAAATATGGTCTTGATATTTTAACAAAATATTGAATTTCTACTTCAAAGACAAAACAATTCTTTATAACTCTCCCCTGAGCCTTCCACTGGGATGAATACCATGCAGAAAAATGTTGATCCTGAGACTCCTATTCAAATAGGATTTAGAATCACCAATATCATTGCTTGGGTTATAATGTATTGCACGAAGAAGAAAAAAATGCTAAAGTAAAGGACATTGATTAAATGTTTGAAAAAAGAAAAACACTGAAAAGTAGACCTCTAGCAATGGCCAGGTTAGTTTTGTTTAAGTTTGCTTTCACATTATGGAGCCATTCTGATATTTTAGGGCTATCTAAATATTTGAGAGAGGAAGAGAAGAAAATGTCTTATAAGTTTTAGGCCCAGCACAAACAGAACCTTTAATCTCCCTTTAAAAGATAATCTTTGGGGCCTTATTTTCTGAGAAAAAATCACAACTGAATCTCAAATCTAAAAAACCCAATTGTATGATCCTTTAGGATAGGTTCTATATTTGTTATGAAGTGACTTCGACTTATGTGAAGCTGTCTTTTTTAAAATATATATATTTCCCCTCTCACATGTTTGGTTAAAAGTTAATAAAATTTTCTGTGGTAAATAAATTACTATGATCAAGCAATACTCACCACAATAAGTTCATAAAGAAACTTCCTTGTATTTCTGTCTCCATGGCAATCTTCCTTTAGCTTCTTGACAACATAAGAAACCTTTTCTGATTCTTTGTCTGCTTGCATTTGATCAAAGTTTTCCAGTGCCAGATGAGAGTACCCCAGGACACAGGCTAAAACTTTCCAGTCATAAACTTTTTCTAACACCAAGGTCAATACAACTGAATATATATAAGTCAGTTTTTTAAAGGGCAGGGCAATTTGCTCAAGAAGATTCCTGGTTGTAAAGATACTATCAGACACAGACATGACTTGTTCTTTTGAAATCACCTTGACATTTTTGCAGTGCACAAGTCCAATCTTCCCTCTGAGGACTCCCACATACCATTCCTTCACTTTAGACTGCCCCATGGCCTTTACCTTACCTTCCCCAAGAAGAGCTATCGTGTCCCCTTTGAAATATTCCAGAAAGTAGTCAATCTTGTTTTGTCTGAGCACTGTCTTCAGGGTTACCCCATAGTTGGTAAAGTTCAATTTTTTATCTTGGAATGTGGGATATTTAACAAGCACTGATGAGAATAAAGGCGTGGACTTTTCCTCTTTCTCCTTGTGCAGATTTGAGAGCCTTTTTAGGTTGGGAGCCGGATCAGGTGAAGTGATAAAGAACTGTGCAACTGGTCTACCATTAGGAGGCTCCACCTGAACACGGAAAACAAACAAGTGCATCTCTCTGCAGTCCACTAAAGAAAAGAAAACTGGTTGATGAACCACCTCACCTGATTCCAACTGCTTTTGTTTAATTTGTTTCCCATCTTCTTGCACTTTTACTTCAAAATCAGGATCACATGAAAACACAGAAATATTTAAATCCTGCGGCTTGTCAAGCAAAAACGAATGCCTTCCCCAGAGCTGAAATACAACAGGAGATGTGCTTTTTCCATCCTTTTTAATATCAGGGATTGTAAGCTTTCCTGGAATATAGCTATGTCCACAAACTGTGAAAATAGCAGTGAAATTGGGATGGATGTATTTGGGGCCATAAATTGCAATTGAGATGGTTTTGTGAATGTAATCCCAAATGGTGGCAGGTGATGACTGAATAGCTTTAGGTTGTGCAGCAATCACTAGATACATCACCTTACTCAAGTCCACCAGCTTGACTTGGATGGTGTCTTTATAAACATAGCAGTTGTTTAATACTTTGAAAGGACCCTCTTTGACCAGGCTGTGTAAGCACACCATTTCTGTCATCACTTGACTGAAAGGATCCTTTCTTACTTCAGCCCCAATTTTCATTTCTAACAAAACAGCTTCCATTGTATTAAGGTTGCTTAACATGATTTCCAACAGAGGGCTTACAGTGCATGAAAGATCATTATTAAGCATTTGTGGAGGATCAAGAAATGCCCTTAGAGATACCTCTTGGAATTCTCCCACAGCTACATGACCTTGGGGCACATGGACAGTGATGTCTGACTCAGGTAACTGTACGGACCCTCCTTGGTGGTTGAGTTTACAAACTGTGATTGTCTCTGCAACTTGTGTTTGGGCCCATCCAGGACTCTGATTCATTGTATTCAAATCCAAGCAGGAGCGAGCCAATTGGCGTTGACTTAACCAAGCCATTTTATAAGCCTCTCGATCATTTTGAAGCCATTCTAAGTCTTGTGCTAGGATTTGGTCACAGTCTTGCATACTCTGATGAGTACTCGTGGTGTCATCTAAAATGCCCAGAAGTTCTGAAACACTTTTGGATCTTCCTGATTTTCTTAAGGGAGACTTGCTGAGCAACTGATGCACATCAAGTTCATCATCAGAGGAATCAAAAGAATTTCCAGTTTCAATTTCTCTTAAAAAAAGAAAAGGATCTTCTTTCAAAATGGAGATATTCTCTTTCTTCTGGTTATTTCTTATCTGAGTTATATCATCCAGAAATGGGTTAGAAGCAGATAGTTCCTTCCAGAATGGATTTGTAACTTTCAAAGCCTTGTCATCGTGAAGAGGGACAGCATCTGGACAATTGCAAAGCAAGCCTGGGTCTTGCCATTCTTGTTATTTAAATAAAAATAAAACAAAACAAAAATAAGGTGGCAATCTGAGATACAACCAAGACTCATTATTCCCAATAGCTTAAAAATTCAAGATTTACTTTTCACTTTGCTTTTTGCTCTCTAGCCTAGTAGCTGCTACAAACTTAATGTAAAATTTGGTCAAATTCTCATGTAATAAGAATAGGGAAAATTTCTGCCAAATTATTTTGAGTAAAGGTAGAGTTATTTTATCTAAAGACATCATTGTACATAAACTAAACAAATATCAAACACTTCAGACAGTAATACATTTAACACATTTCCTTGAAAATGACTTACACTGGTATTCACTTCTGCCTTACTATTTTATGTTTCATCTTCCCAAAATGAACAAACTGAATTCAATTATCTAGATTAGATATTATTAGACCCTACACAGTAGGTCTAATTTTATAAAACAAGCCACTGTATTAGACAGGCAGCAAAAAATTCTTAGATTATTTTCTGAGAATGTTGTATTGATAAATTTTAATAACATTGAATTTCTGTGTGAGAGAGAGGAAGAAAGAAGGAACATTGAAAAAATAGACCATTGTTGGATAGTGCTTGAAGGAATTTGTTGAACTTTTGTGAACTTACAATGACATATTATTGCTTTAGAAACTGAGTGTTTTGAGAATTATAACACACGAAAATATTCATTTTCATAAAGAATTTCTATATATCCCACAATGTTGGAGACATTTTTTTAAGGTTTAGAGTGAATCATACTTAGCCATTTCTAAGAAAATATTAGTAAAGAATCTGGGGACTTTGTGAAACTGGTGATACTTTGGAGAAAATGAAAGCCAAAATGGGCAATCAAATCATCCAAGTTTCTATAGGAAAAAAGAAAGAAAGAAAAGAATTCAAGTAAACTTCTTAACTTTTTGGTTTACTATTTGTAGAATGGTTATACATTAAAGTGTTACATATTAAAAATTAGAAAATAAAAGTAGTTTTTCTTCTATTTCTACACTGATTTTCAATCCAATGACTCCTAATTCTTAAAATTCATTTTTTTTCTCTAGGTTCAATTCCATTGTTTTCTGTCCCAGGAAGTTTTCTTAAATCCCTCCATCTTCCAAAGATCTCTTTTATCCCAGATTCATTCTATTTGTTACATATACTACTCATTTTTTAATGTTTTTGCATTTTTATAAAATTTATTATTATCTGATTATAAGATGTACATTTTTTGCATGTCTTCAATAATACTAGAACAATTCTGTGATAACAAGAGGATTTTATAATTCTTTTAATCTCCTGTAGCAGGAGGTAGAACTTCAGGACTTATTGGTGAATTTTAGAAGTACACATTCAGTAGCTATTGATGATGGATCTGATTTACTTACATGGAAAAATTACAATAGTCATACATTTCTGTACCTGTAATATTGCAATTTTTTGAGAGGTTTTCTCCTTCCATGTCAATCAAATTTCCTTCAGCTCTACTTTGTGCAGTTCCTCCTGACCAAAAATGGGCTATTTCACAGATTACCATTTTCCCACCTAAAAGTAAATAGATATGTGTTTTTTGTAAGCATCCATGTACATATTGGCAGAAGAAACAAATTTAAAATGGTGATAGATATTTAAGTAGACAACTGCATCTAAAAAATACTTTAAAGTAGAAGACTTACTTCTGGTAGGATAATGGACTAGATATGTATTATCATGCTGTTGAAAAATGCTCAGATTATGTACTATACCAACAAGGAAACCTGGAAATACATTACCGAGCCCATAAAAAAATGACTAATGGAAACCCTAAGAACAACAAAAAAAGAATTGTAAGTTGAAATTTCAATAAATAGACCATCTTAATATAATGGTTGGAAGACTAAATATACAAACCTGAAAATCCTCTCCCAAATTCTTCTCTATATTCAATCCAATTACCAGAAAAATCACATTATTTGTGTACACATGTGTAAGATCTTTTTTTTATTTTTTAAATTTTATTTTTAAATTAACAAATCAAGATCGTGTATATTTGTTGTATACAGCATGTTATTTTAAAGCATCTTGTTCTGAAACATTGCTGCATCTATAAACTCTTAAGCTTTGGAAATAATGTGTGTTATCTATCAGATATCAGAATTAATTTTAACTATTCTGTAAGACAAGGTGGAGAGAGAACAGAAGTCGACTCAGGGCACAGAATAAAGATTCCAAAAGCAGACCTGCACTCATAAGAAAGCTTGTTATCTGGCAGAGGCCATGCAAATCGGTGTGGAAGTGATGGATTTCTAATTAAATGGTGATGATATAGTTGGTTGTACATGCTGAAAAGAAATTGCATCAATCACAACCTCATTTCACACACACACACACTTACTCACACACACAAATCATTTCCAAGAGTTTTAGATTTCAAAATGTGAAGAAAAAAAAAAACACTTTAGAATTGGCAAAGTAGAGAATGCCTCCTGAAAAGTATTTATTAAGCACAAACACATAACACGCACACACGCAAAGGCAATCACAAAATGAAAAAATAAGAAATCTTGTTCAGTCAAAAGATATTGTTTACGGAGAGGGGAGGAGAGGGAAGGGGAGGGGAGGGGGGATAGTAGAGGATGGGAAAGGCAGCAGAATACAACATACACTAGTATGGCAGTAGGTAAAAAAGTGGATGTGTAACCGATGTGAATCTACAATATGTACATAGGGTAAAAATGGGAATTCATAATCCGCTTGAATCAAATGTATGAAATATGATATGTCAAGAACTTTGTAATGTTTTAAACAACTAATAAAAAAAGATATTATTTACAAAAAGTAAAAACACAAGCCCAAAACTAGGAGAACTGACTTCCAAAGCACATGACTGATAAAGAATCACTTATTTGTATTCTAAAATAACAAAGACTCACAAAAATTAAAATTAAAACAACACTAAAGAAATTCCTTTAAAAAGATCTAAACAAGCATTTCTCAAAAAAGAAAAAAAAATGAAATATGTCCTATCTAATTGGTTATTAGATAAAGCAAAATAAAACCACATGAAACAAAATTAACACCTATCAAATTTACAAAACGTTTGAAGTCTGGCAACAACAATTATCAACAAAACTGCAAAGCAAAGAGAAATCCTATGCTCTCCTAGAAGAAGTACTAACAGGTACTTGGACTATAATCTGATATTACCTAGAAAAGATGTTTGCAAACTAGTACCCAGTAATTCTAATTCCAGTTATTTACTCTAGTCAAATTTTGTATATGTGCATAAAAAGAGATATTACAGTTGAATGTTCATTATATTATGTTACCAGGAAACTGTTTTTTCTTCTTCTTTTTCTTCTTCTTTTTTTTTATACCAGGGATTGATTGAGGATGCTTAACCACTGAACCACATCCCACTGAGCCACAACCCCAGCCCCCAGCCATTTCACTTTTTTATTTTGAGATACAGTCTTGCTAAGTTGCTTAGGTCCTGAGTAAGTTGTTGAGGTTGGCCTCAAACCTGCAATCCTCCTGCTTCAGCCTTCATAGTCACTGGGATTATAGGTGTTTACCATCACATCCAGCTTAAATCATGGTATTTTAATACAACGGAGTACTATTCAACAGATGAATCACAACTCAATGTACAAATACATGCTAGATACAGGATGCTCATTTGCTGAGACTCCACCTTCATCACATGTATGGTTTCCCTTAGTCCTGTGACAACATGCAGAACTACATATTTAGCATCTGATTTTCAGGTGGAAAAACAAGTCTCAGCTGCTCAGCATAACTAAGCCACCAGGTCAAATGACAAGTGAATGACCCAGAAAAAAATTACTTGACTTATTTACATTATAGCTACCACACCCAGGCCATAGGCCTAACCCAGACCCAGGTTCCCAATGATACATTCCAAGAGCACCCCACCTGCCATTTCACATTTCCAAGGATGAGGAACACTCCTTTCCTCCCTTCTGTGCTAAGTTCTTCCTTAAACTCACCCGCCCCTTTTTTTGGTCATTCTTCTTTCAAATTCTTGACTTTCATATTAAACAAGTCTATTTGATTTTTTTTAAATGTAAAATATTTTTTGGTATATGAGAAAATAATATATTTTTCAAAATGAAAGAAAGGAGAAGAAGAGGAGAAAAAGAAAGGGTAAGGAAGGGGAAGAACATGTTTTGCAAACATGATGAATAAACAACAAAAAAAATTATCTCGTAAGGTTAGGCATGCTTAAAAACAAACAAGCAAACAAATGGTACAGTAATATTTTTTTTTCCTGCTAGGGAAAACTACATCAAAAGCTTGAGTGAAAAATTGAATTATACAATATGCAAATTGCAATGAGACTTCAAGTTTCCTGGCAGCTCTTTAAAAATTCTGTGGCTAGTTTTCACCAGATACAATGTTCAAAATTTTGAGTATTTAGCACTACCATAGGTAGTCAAGACTTTAAGCAGGAAAACTGAGCTCAAATCCTTCAGCAAAATTTAGCAACTCAAATTAAGATGAAAGGGAAAAAAAGTTTAAATAGAAAAGTATTTTTAAATAGATAAAGTACATTTTAAATAGAAAACCAACTCTTTCATTTCTTGTGAAGAGCAAAAATGAACAATTTAGACCCAGTATTCCTTTGAAGCAGATAATTGTTGATGTAAAAAAAAAAAAAAATAGTCATAACCCAGGAAGAAAAGTTAGAAGTCCTCAACCACAGGAAAGCCAGGACGGGTGCCTGACACAGATGTACAGATGTGATCCTGAGTCATGATTACATTTCAGAAGCAAAGGCCCAAAGTAGTCATTGGCTGTAATTCCTTGTGGAGCTGCCTTTTCCTTCAGTCACCCAAGCAGATCTTAACTGTCCTCCAGAGCTGTTCTTCTAAACTTGTACCAGAAGCACCTGATGGATTTAATCAAACACAGCAGCTGGAACCACCCAGGGTTTCCTATCCAGAAAGTTTGAGGACGTATCTAAAAATCTGCATTTCTAATAAGGTTGTCAACTGATGCTAATGCTATGGATCTCAGGGGCACATGTTGAGAACCATGTTCTGAAAACATTTGGGGATTTTTTTTTCCCCACTGGCTAACTATTTTCCCTATTTCCACTGTCCCCCAACAAATCCTCCAGCTCCTGATCTTTCTTTACACAGGCGCACGCGCACGTGCGCTGGAACACACACACACACACACACACACACAACCCATAGTACTAGATGCTAAATCTGGATATTTTTTTCATGTGAATACAGGGAGTATTGTCTATAGAAGCATGAGTCAGTCTTTTTTGGAATGAGTAAATGGGAAAAGAGAAGCCTGCTGTCCATTTAATCCAGGACACTTTCTTTTAGATGTGCCTTTGACTTATTCTGGTATTGTATGATGCATTATTTTTTTCCTCAAAAAGCTAATGAACAAAGTTTTGCCCATCATTTATTTTAGTATTAGAACTATGCCTTAAGCAACTGAGGAAATTCACCAAATATACAACTTAATAAATGTTCTGAGAAGGTATTTTTGAAGGGGGAAGTGGGTGGGAAAGGATATGGTATTTGGAAAGAATAAAGGGAAACTATCTTTTAAAAGAATAATTTCTTTAAAATGTCTTCTTTAATGTGTTTGTAGTAGTCTTTATACAGTGAAAATTGTTATTGCTAGCCATAGGCAAGTTCATGGTACTTTTCAATTTGTCTTTGAGTACCTCAGACCTCTCTGATTGCCATGGACCATACTTTTTTTTTTTTTTAACTCTTCATAGGATCTGAGCTGCATTTAACTCTTGATCTATGTGTTATGAAGTCATGACCATATTGGCTACAACTTTTGTAGGTGACAGCAGAGTCTAAAATGTCAGAAGAGCCATTGTTGGATCAATAGACTTCTCCTTCACCCCTCAAAACCAAACCTACCCAAATGCTACATTAACATGTAAAAGCAACTGACTAAAGAAAGACTGAATGGTCCAAAAAGGAATCAAAATCAGCAATAATATTCACCTGGTATAATCTGTTGGACATTACCATGGTGTGTGTCCTTACTGGATTACCCCAGGGCACCTTATAATGAGCTAGTGACACCATATGATTGATGATACATATACTCTAACACCAGTTATTAAGTAGTTTGAATATTTGTTACTCTAATCATTCTGACCAAATATTTCAAAGACCAGACAGTCTGGCAGGGCAAATTTCAGCACTCACTTTTCCCCAAGAAATAATAAAATGACTTTAGACAATTATCCAGGTAGGGCAGCAGGGATGATGCGTTAGGCAGTATTAATAATTCACAATAATTTCTATGATGGCTCTAACCCAGAGCTCAAAACACTTTATCAATACACCATCTTGTTAATGTTACCATGTCAAGATGCCTATCACTTCTTTATATTTTATTAACCTTCCATCATTAGCAGAACTAAAGTTCAGGAAAATTACAATCATTGTGCAGTGTAGTGTGACATTAATGAGCACAAATCAAGAACAGAGAAATGATAAGTCAGGAATTGCTGTATATCTAGCTTACTGATGTAACATCCCCAGAAACTTCATCCT